AGAGGCATCCCAACTCAAGCAGAGAAAGACAATTTGAGCTTTTGCAGCATTTTTGTTCTATGAGGGCCTCTGATGAATTGCATGTTGCCCACCCATCCTGGGGAAGTGGGCCTTTGCCCAGTCTGCTGATTCCAATGTCCATCACTCCAGATGCAGCTTCATGGACACACCCAGAGATCCAGCATCCTTTAATAAAGGATGACTCTTCTCACCATTGCAAGGAGAAAGGTTCATGGCTAGATGGACACTGATCTTTGCTGACCCCCTGACCTGGTGGCCATCTATCCTCGATGACCCCTCCATATTGGTTTCCCCACTGCATGGTCTTGTGTTCAGGCTGCTTCTGCTCTAAAGAAGCAGTTTTTCAGGTAGAAGAGAATTTCTGACACCGCTGTAGGGCTGCGGTAACACTGTATGCTTCCTCATGGAAGTTACCTGTTAAAGTAGAATCTTCCACAGGTGAGGGAAGGGGGCGGGGAATGAATTTTGTAGCCTTGAACTTGGGATGAAGTGGTAATCAGTTCTAGAAACTGGCCAGGGAAATGTAGAGTCCCCCACAGTGCTCTTTGAGTCCTTCTAGGTGCCAGTAGTCATGGAAAACACAGGTCACTTTCTCTTTTCAGCTATGAATTCACAGGTTAGGGGAGGGGGAAATGTGCTTGAGGTGACTGAAACATTTGCAGGGGAAGACCTGATACCGCACCGTCTCAGTTCACACAGGGATGCCAGCAAAGGCACAGTGGAGGAGTCTGAATGGAGAGCTGCAGGGTTCTGTGCAGCGTTTTGTTTCAGTTTTCCACAGAACCTTCGGGCACTGTCTACCGCAGCCCTCTTCTTTGTCCTCTTGAATGACAGTGAGCTGCGTTTCCTTCGGAGATTTAGAGTTGGGAAACTAACCTACGTGCAGAGTGAGGGCTTGTAGGGAGCTGCGAAATCTTCACGAAGGCACTGGTCTTCCAGGGCTTCGGGATCCTTCTCTATCAAGCCAGACTCTGGGCTATGGCATCTCTAGGATTCTTTCCGGTTCAAGCAGTTCACGTTGGACTGTGCCTTCAAAGCAGGTATAGCATTACCGAGAGTGCCTGGTCTGGTCCCGAGGAACTGAACCCATGCTGTCTTGTTTCCCCCTGCCTCTTAGTGTCTTACAAACCCCAGGAAGTACATGGCTGGCTGGAAGCAAAGTCTCCATCCTTGAAGAAGTCCTCCTCCGAGGTGGAAGAGCAGCTGCCAACCAACATCTCAGGACTCCCAGGGACCACTGCCGGAAGCCAGAAGAACTTGGGGCTGAAGGACTCAGAACCTCCCAGAGGACAGCCTTCCAGAGGGAATCTTTACAGCATGAGCTGGATTTTTCAGCTCTGTTAGAAAATAAAAGCCATTTGTGGAGGACAGGTGTGGGCTGTAGTGAAAGGGAGAGCACCAGAGCCCAGCAGCCATGGCAGAGCGTCCCAGGCAGACGCGAAGCACAGGGTCCCTACCTGCTGCTTAGAACCAGAGAGAGCAACACCCTGGGGCTGGGCTGGGGTGTTTGAGCCTTTGTCCTGGGAAAGGTACACAGGGCATTTGAGGGGGCTTGGGGTGCCCTCACTCTCTAAAGTGCTCTGCCACTTCCCTTGCCTGGCTGCTGGGCTAAGCTGGGGGTGAAGTGCAGTCACCCAAGGGAGTTCTGTGGGTGCTGGAGGCAGCAGGCAGACCAGGAGGAGGCAGGGCGGTGCCGACCCTCCAGCTCCTCCTCGCCACAGCTTTGTTTTGTCTGACTCCCTTGCCAGCCTGGAATTCCTGGGGGCTGAATTCCTCCCAGACTGCTGTGGCTTCTGATACATACAACATGGAGATTCCCTGCTCTGCTCCCTGGTTCCGCAGAACAGCACCTGGCGGGCTTCCTGGGAGGCCAAGGAGAGGGGCACATCACTGTCTGTGGCTCTGCGGTGGCCTCTGAAGGCAGCAGAGAAAACCCCCATGAATTCCCTTGTGATGAGGTGAAGGCTGGGTCTCAAAGCCAGCGTGCAGTCAGGTGCTTACACACAGTCAGCAGGGAGCTGGGCTGGTCCCAAGGTGTCTCTGCCCCCTCTGGACACAGCGCTCTGTAACTCAGAGAGCAGGTCACCAAAGCCCTCAGTCTTATAAGCAGAGCTACTTTCAAGTAGCTGCAGACCGAGTGTGTGCACAGCTGTGAATGAGAGAAGGGCCCTAAGAAAAGTGGGGTGCAGAGCGATCTCTGTGAGCCCCATGACGCTGGGAATTCCAGAGATTTTATTCCAGGGGAGCGGTGTAGCATCTTCCATACATGCAGGATCCATCCTGAGGAAGCTAGACACTTGCTACTTGGATGTCTCCAGACCCGGGAGGCCAGCGGGAAAGATAAGGCAGGGCCAGCAGGTGCGGTGTGTGCCCTCAAGGAGCTCCCTGGAGGCAGTGGGCACAGGCAGGTCTGCTGCGCCTGGAGAAGCCGGGAGGTCTGGGGCTGCACAGGGTCCAATGGGTTGCCAGTGCACAGCAGCACCAGCAGAGGTGCAGACTGCAGTGATGTGGAGGACAGGAGGACAGCGAGAAGAGGAAGAGCAGAGGAGGAGGAGGGCGTGCCTGACAGTGGGAGTGAGGGACAGCCGCCTGGCGCCTAGCACCTGCTCCCCATCCATCTGGCCTGTCTGGGTGTCGGCTGTACTTCAGGCTCCTCCTCTAGGGGATAAAGTGACAGCCTGCCTGGAGGGACACCTGCAGGGGCCAGTGGGACTGTCCATCCAGGGTACTCATCTCAGTGCTGAGCACATGAGTGCTAAACACAGTCAAGAGGATGCAGCCCCCAGCCAGTGTGGTGGGCAGCCCTGGCCATGGGCCCCAGATAAAGGCTATGGCCTGGCCTGTATCACCCGAGCCAGGACCCTGCAGCCCCTTTGCCAGGCGTGAGGCTCACTGGAGGAGAAGGTGTGGGGGTAACGGTTGGGGAGAGAGGCTGGCCTGCGGCTGGGTTGGGCAGACACGGTTCCACTGGGATCAGCATCCTCCCAGAGCACAGGATGTGGCCCTCTATCACTCTCCTTGGGCTCGCAGTTTTCTCCCCACTCAGATGCCAGCTGGAAGGCAGCCCCTCTCCCACAGCCATCTCCCTGTGAACAGAAGGGAATCTCTCCCTCCTCCTGGCCTGGTCCTTGGGGCCCGCTGCCCTGGTGCTACATTGGTTTGCCACCGGACATTGACTCCTTGAAGGAGCATACAGGCTTTGTGGTGGGACCCCGTTCCAACCATCAATGGCTCCTTGGCAGACCAGCACGGCAGGTGTCTGCTGCAGAGTTAAGCAAAGAACAGGTCCTGTCTATGCACAGAAGCTTTGAGTTGCGCTGGTCTCTTTGTGGACCAAAGAGCCCTGTGAATCTGTGCCTTGGAATTTGTTGCCTGAAGTCCCCCAGAATCCTACATAATTCCTTTTCCTGGTTGTGATTGCAGGGCAAACTATGAAGGCTTTCTGTCCACTGGATGAGGCTTCCCTCCTTACATAGACACCTTCCATGAGGCTGTGGTGCTGTGCCAGGGTCACCTACAAGCCAGGCTAACCATCCTAGAACTTGTTAGGGCTTAGAACTGGAATGGGTCCCCACCCCCAAAGTCTCATGTGCGCATGGTGGGAATTTTGGAAGGTGGTAGCATCGTGGGGTGCTATACTCATCAGTGGATTCATCTACTCATGAGACCATAGCTCAGTTTGGTGTTTAAACATAGGGACTGGTTAGAGGCAGGTCACGGGGGACGTGACCTAGAGGGGACGGCTACCGCTCCTTGCCTCCTCCTTTCTCTCTCCACTTCCTGGCCACCATGATGTGAGCTGCTTTCCTCCACTCAGGTCCTTCCACAACAACCTTCCTGCCTTGGGGTCCACCCATGGGGACCAAAATTGTGAGCAAAATCGAGCCTCTGCTCCTGTAAGTCATGGATGTGAGAGTGCGTCCCAGTCAGAAGGAAGTGATGAACAGGGAGGTGACTTTCCGGGAGCTGGTGTTCTGTGGTGTAGGATCCACTTCAATTTTGAGGGCAGTGGTGGTTTCCCACAGGGATCTGGTTACAGCTGGCTGAATCTGATCCAGGGGTGGCACTTCACTGAATCTCACTTCTCAGCCTGGTCAGGCCACGTGACTGACATCAGGTCAGATGTGAGCAGGGATTCTGTGGATGTGCTAACATTTGATTAGTGGCTGTAGGGAAGGGAGGTGGGTGGGTCTCAGTCCACCAGATGAGGTCCTGAGGGCCATCCTGAGGCTCCCTGAGGAGAAGCAATTCTGCCTCAAGTGGGTGATGTGGGAACTTACTGAATTTCCAGCCTACTGTCCCGTGGAATTCAGGTCCAAGATGGCAGCGTCAACTCTTCCGTGAGTTTCTTTCTACAGATGTCACATTTGTCTGTCTTCACAGTCTAGTGAGGTTGTTCCTTAAATACCCAACTTCCTCTCTCATGCCCTGCTGGTTCTGCTCCTCTGGAGAACCCTGACACCAGCAGGGACTGCAAGACCACGTGTGTCCCTCCCTCTGTCCCTTCCTGCTTCTCTTCTTCCTTTCCTCCCTCCGTCCCTCCCTTCCTTCCTTTTTCCCTTCCTTCCTTCCTTCTTTCCTTCCTTCCTTCCTTCCTTCCTTCCTTCCTTCCTTCCTTCCTTCCTTCCTTCTTCCTTCCTTCCGTCTTTCCACAGAGTCTCACTAGATAGTTCAGGCTGGCTTAAACCCACAGAAGCCCTCCTCCTGGGTGCTGGGATCCCAGGCGTGTGCCAGTGGCCCCAGCAGAGTAGCCTCCTTTTCACTGAATGTGGCACAAATCCATCATGACCCCATCCGCAGCTGCCCTCCTTGCACCCTCCTCCCCCTGGGGACTGCTTCCTCCTAATCTAGTTCTAGCTCTTTCTGTGACATTCCAGCCCCGTTTCACCCTCTTTGAAACTCATCGTCTGGTGTCTGGTGCCAGCCCTCTGTAGCAGAAGTGAACCTTGGGAAGGAGCAGCACACAGCTCAGAAGCACATCATACAATATAAAATTTATTATAAAATTCAGCAAATATAAATATCCGGGTACCTGTCTACAGAGGTGTCACATGCCAGACAGGGAGACCAGAAATAAGCACCCATGATGCCAGGGAGGAGTGGGAGGCCCTCTGGGGAGGCTGCTGGCTTTCCCTCTCCACCAAAGTTACAGACTAGAGTTAAGAACCCCTCTAGACAGCAACAACAAAACCCAGGACATGCGGCTATGATCCCGTCAGCAACTGGGTAGCCTAGACGCTGTCTGGGTGAAAGTTATGTAACCTGAAATCTGAACCACAATTTAAAGCAGAAAAGCATGGGGAGCAGGTTTAAATAGGAACTCTCACTGGTCAGTAACTGGAAAGATAAAACATTAACTGTAAAATCTCCCCTGGCATGTAAGCTCTAAGGGCAGGAAGCACCTCACCAGGGACTTTACTTCCCAGGCTGCATATGCAAAGTCCTAAATGAGAAGGACCTGGGCTCTTATGGCAGAGCCTGGAAAAGCATCCAGGGGCTCCCCAAACCCCTCACCTCCCCCACCCCAATGGTGGGAGCCTCTGAGGCTTTTGGGAGGGAGGATGGTCTACTTAGTGACAGCTATTTCAGACGTTTTCCTAATCTTGTGGCTTTTCCTTTTTACAAAGCACCAGACATTTAGCAATTAGCAAGTCCACCTCTGCTGTCCTTTGGGCTTGGTGTGGATGAACCATGAACCTGGCTGTGTGTGGCTGTTTGTGCTCTGCAGTATAGCGCTCCTTCTCTACACTTGAGCAGGCATGATCCACGCTTCCATGGGACAGGACAGTGTGTGCCAGCAAGGGCACAGCCACCCGTCTGCCTCTCCCCATGCACAAACACACACTCTTCGGGCCAAAGAGCCAAGCACAGTTTCTCCTCTTCCGGCTCTGCTCTTTGCTGGATGTGCTCCAGTGCGCACTGCCCGGCCCCTTCACGCTGATATTTCCAGCTCACGTGCCTCCTCTCTGCTGTGGCAGTGACCCAACTCACAGGTTGGACTTGGAGCAAGCCCTGCAGCACTGCTTGCCATAGAATCTGTGGCTGCACATGCCGTGCTGCGGCACCAGGTTGCACCAGGGGAAGGCGTCTTTGCAGAAGGTGCCTGAAAACGAGCACGTTCCACGTCAGTCAAGTGCTCCGGAGTTTGGCAGATGCTGCTCACCAGGAGCTCTGTTTCGCACACAAAAGCAAACTCATCATTGCCTCAGAGCTGCTGCAGGAGGGCGGCTATCTGGCTTTAACTGGGTGGGGCCTGGAGAACTTATGCCTTTCCCAAGACCATTCTTGGAAGGTTCCTGTAAGACTAGAACCTTCTTGTGCTAAGGACACCCAACAGGCAGACAGATAAAGGAAGGCTTTTGTCTAATGCAGTGGGAAAAGGTGCGTGGTTCACATTCTGTTCTTTAGGTACCCCAAATAGCACTCACAAAAGATGGAAATCATGTGTTTATAAGGCTGGATTTATGCCACAACCCACCTGTCCTTTCTTGGGCAGCATGAGGATGGCAGGCTCTGCTTTGTGACTGTCATTAGAAAACTGAAGGATGTGAGGGGGGGAAGGGAGTGTGTCAGACACGCGGCCCCAACTCTCGGGTTCACCAGGTAGCTGGCACCCCATTCCTCCACCCTTCCAGGAATTCTCCCAAGCCTCCAGGCTCCCACCCAAATTCCCAGGCCCAGCCAAGAGGCCCTGAGCTCACCTTTCTTCTCTGTGATGGGGCAGAAGTGGGTATTGCAGGCCAGGGAGGCTTCAGGCTTCTGGTGCGGGGGGCAGTCAGAGGCTGGCCGGGCCCCTGCCAGGCACTGCACGGTCCTCCTCTGCACACCACCTCCACAGCTGGCTGTGCACTGAGGAGGAGGAGACAGCACTTACCAGGCTGCTAGGCTCCCTGCCAGGAGCATGCCCAGCAGCGGAGGGCACAGCACTGCAGGCCACAGTTTCTTCCAGGGATGGAGGTGACAAAAGGCAGGGCAATAATGCCCAGCCAGGGTGCAGATGGAGCAGCCCCTGTACACCCCACTGACAGTGTATACTGGGCAGAGCTGGCCCCCTACCTGGAATTCGGAACCAGCCTGTGACATGGCTCTCACCCTTCCAAGGGCTCAGGTAGGATCCAGGGTGGGGCCAGCACTTGCTGAGAATGGTTGTGACCTAATGCTAAAGACATCCTGGACAGGTTCTCAGCCCTCAGGGGCCCTGGGGAAGAGTATGTGCACTAAAAAGGTGAGTACACACAACACACACACACACACACACACACACACACACACACATGGATGAATATATTATCTCCTCAGAATATTGGTAGTACAGATAAACATTAGATTCTATGCACAATAAAGTTGGCCCAAGTCATTCTTCTAAATATAAAAAGGAAGAAAAGCCTCCTGTTTTTGTTTCTATTTGAAGTCTCTGAGAGCACAAGGTTGCTGATGTTATATCCAAGACCAAGGCGAGGTACTTTCTAACCTACACTAGGTTCTCCTTGAACCATGGCCTGGGTCAGCCCTGCTCTCTGCTGGCTGCGGCAGCCCCATTTCCTCCTCAGCCCCTTTGCAGGGGTCTCCTCTTGTCCAGACGCCTCAAGGTAGTGGCTCTCAGCCTCTGGTTGCCGATCACCCCTGGAGTAGCAGAGTGTGGACCACAGGAAGGCATCCCGGGAGGTTTAGTGTTGTCAGGGAGTCTGGTAGCCAGAGGAAGCAGACATATGGGATTCCAGGGTTACCCTGTGAGTCCCAAGGGTGGACAGTGCCTTTGGGCAATGCCCTTGTAACTGGCATGGTAAAATGGAGCTTGAAAAGTAAATTTTTTTTTCATTTAAACACAAGTGGCTTCTCCAGATTTCCTCGGGTCTGGATCACAAACAGTGGCCTCTGCCTCTCCTCAGTGTGGATGAATAGACAGAGCCTGCAGCCACTGGCACCTTCAGGTCAAGTCCAAGTGCACCCCTGCGGGCAGGGGAGCAGAGGTTCCAGTCCAGGAAGGGTGGGGACTGAGTGTGTCTGCTGTTTTACTGTACCCCTCCCTGAGCTGTTCCTTGCTGCATGAGATGGGCACTGGAGAGAAGCTGGCCTCTCCACCTCCTCAGAGCCAGGCTTGAGAGAATCTCTTTTCATTTTTACCAAAGCGAGTGGCTTCTTCTGGTCAGCGCTGAGCATAGGAACCTCAGCACAGGAAGCAGGGTGGCTGGCCCTCCTGGGACACTCAATCCCCACAGAGGCTGAAGGGCGCCAAGCCCCTTCTAAACTCCAGGTCCAGGCTCCAACCAGCTGCGCTCTGGGCTTCCTAGCCAAGAAGAAATGAGCCCAGGGCGAGGGGAGGTCGTCTTTCACTATGTGGCAGGGCACACAGCCCAAAACGAGCAGGACCCATCTGGGATCCACCACAGGCAAAGAATCAGGGGATAAACAACTGGAGAGGCAGCGGGATCTGAGCCAGACAATGAATCCACCAGAAGGAGAGACCTGCACAAGTCTAGACTAAATTATGTATCTTGCGCTCCACTGTGGCTACAGGCTAAGAGGGTCAGCACGCCCAAGAGACACCTGCAGGAAGGCAAGTCAGATGCAGTATGGATGTCCTGGTGTGTGGCAGAGGAGCTGAGCACTTGCTTCTCCTGCAGGAATGACTCTATGCAAGGCTGGGGACGCACATGGTTCATGTTGCTTGCCCAAAGTGACAGCAGGTCACACAGGGAGACACAGCAGCTGGCTCTCGACAGCCTGTCCCGCCTGGAGAGGAATGGCACACAGATGCAGAGGTGAGAGATGAGCCTGGCTTCACTCCAGAACCTGCTGCCGTCAGAGCTTCCAAAGTGACCTCAAGGCCCCTGGAACAGGGACCAGGTGAGGAGCAAGTCTGACCCCTGCCTGTCCCCCTGGAGAGGGAAGGGGTTGGGAATAGAATGTGGGAATCCCAAGCCAAAGGAACTTTCTTCTTTCTCTTTTTCCTGTTTGGATGAAGGCTGCTCAGGGCCTGCACCTGTGTCCACTGGGTGCACTGCCGAGCTGCTGACCTCTCACTTCCAAACCAGTTTCAGCAGGGAGGCATGGACAGCGTCCTTTCCATAGCTGACTGTGGCAGCCAGGAAAAATAACTCGGAGGGCAGATTCCTGCCAGTTTCTGAATGATCAGGGTTCCAAAGGACACAGCCCAATGTTTCCCCTGAGAGTCACAGAACCCTGAAGGTCCACAGAACCCAGTCCTGCCCCTGTTCTTTGCCCTCTGTGTGCCAGGCTCCCTCTGGGCTCACAGATGCACTGAGCACTTTGGGGTCATGGATGATAGCTCTGAGACGGCTGCTCCAGGGTGGGTTCCCGTCAGCACTCACAATGTCTCCACCCCAGGCCAAGCTCTCCTGTGCTCGGCAACTAGGGGAGATTTCTACCCCCACCAAGGACATTTGTCACCATTAGAAAAAATAAGCTCTCACTAGAGTTTTTCATTTATCCCCATGTAATGAACACTCAGCCTGACATTTCTTTATCATTGATTTTCTTAGTCGGTGACTAGGAATCTCTCATCCTTCCTGGTGCCTTGTTTCATGAATTGAATTTGCACAGTTACGGGGAAGATGGCCATGGTCTTGGCTGTCACTCAATGCAGAGTTTGTGAGCAGAAGCAAAATTCTGCCAAAGGCTTCTGTTCAGGAACCACATAGTTCAGGAACAGAGGCATTCAGGAATTGAGGCCTTACAGTCTGGGTATTTTGCATCCAAGCACTAGACACTCAGTGATAATCCTGGGTGACTCGGACCTTACCCCAGGGAGCCCACACAATGCGCTGCTCAGTGTGGTCCTGGCCCCTGCACTGCCCCCTCTCCCACATCACCGCTGCCTCAGACTCTGTACCGCGCCCATGACGCTAGGGGCGCTGGGGGCGGGGGTTGAAAAATGTTGCACTGGAGAGTTTGACAGTTTCCCATGGGAAAAAGAAATATTGTGGGAAAACAACCTCCAAATGTCTCACAATTTGCATTTTTCAAGGATACCGAAAGAATGAAGATATTCAGCCCCAAACTCTGAAACTATTCCGAATGAATGAAAATTAGTGACAGACAAAGACATGGAAGGAAAAGATGAAACCTGAAAATTACTTATTTACTTCTCTTTGCAGAAGGGGAGAAGGAAATGCTAGCTGGTCCTCAGTCACACAGCACGATGGCGTGGGACAGCTTGGTGTTTAGAACTCACATTCCAGACTTTCTGTGGGATCTGCGGTTTTTCAGCCAGCTGATGCTAAGAAGCACCTGGGGTCCTGGACAGCCAGGCAGAGACAGACTGGAGCCTGGGGCAGGGGCGGACAGGAGGGTAGAGAGGGGACAGGAAGCTGCATTTGGTGGGCAGCTCCTAGGACAAGAGCAGGCTGGGAAACAGTGCTCGCTGAAGAGTCTGGAGCTTGGGTCTGAAAGTCCAGGCTTCTGGCTTCTTCCAGCTTCCTGGGATGTAGCCTGAGCCTCCTCCTGGACAGACCGACCTCTGTGCTGCCCCATCCCCACACTGACCTGCCCCTGCCCAGCCCACCTGCTGCAGCCAGCCCTGCAGACTCCTGTGCACTGACCCACCTCCAGGTCCTGGACCTCTCATCTAACTTGCATGAGTCACCTATGGGATCCCCAGAGGCCCCAGGCCACATGCCCAAGCTGTAGCCAGTTTGTGTGGAGCCTGAGATCCTGCTTGCTGAGCTCAGGGCCACATAGAGAATCACCTCACCAGACTGTCAGATACTTTTCTTTTTTAGTTTTCACAACAGATATCAGCTGCATGTAATTCCAGCAGGAATGGTATACAAAGTCAACGTGGCCTAGGTTGAAACTCTTGTAGTGACTGACACTGGGCTCCAAAGAAGCCTGTCCCTCTCCAAAGACACCATTGTCCCTCGGTCTAGATGGTCTGCTTCTCACTCTGACCCTGTCTCAGCCTAAACAGGACCCTGTGGCCTCTGCCTGTGGTCACAGCAGGTCTGCAGTGCCAGCAGGTACAGGTCGGCAGCCTCTCCTCCCAGGACTGACTTTCCTGGAGAACGGCAGCAGTGTTCAGGGATCAACTGTGGGGATGTTCTTCCCCCTGCAGAGTGACAGCTGTCAGCCTTAGTGTTCTTAGAGAGGCTCTGCAAACACTAGAGGTGAACAGAGAAGACGATCACTTCTGGCCATCAGAAAAAACAAAGAGATGCATGAAAACAATGTTTGCCTTGAAGAGCTTTCCTCAGTTTAATTAGAGGGTTCCTCTTTTCACTGGTCTCTGTGGAGAAATGCTGGCAGAACAAGGTGGCTCCAGCCTCTGAGTGATGGCTGGTGTTTTGGGATCCACGGGGCTTTTCACAATGCAGAGTTCATCAGAGAACACAGAGGATGATAAAGACAGTGTGCCCCAGTTCCCGAGCACAATGGTTCCCGCTCTCTTTTCCCACTGGAAGCCCTTTGCCAAGAGTCTCCATTAGGTTTCCCCTTTTATTTATCATCTTCCTGTGGCCTGGTGTGTGCTCCCACCATAACCTTCCCACTGTCCCGGAAGTCAGAGGTCTGATCAGTTTAGAGGGGACTGCACAAACCTCCGTGGTCTTAGAAAGACAACTTCTGTGACAAGATGAATGGGGCTGTTAATCTTTGCACCTCTTTGATTAGTTTCAAACACAAACACCCTCAACGTTAAGGGGGTGAGTGGTGGCTTTACCCACCAATGGTGGCAAAAGAAGATGAGAGTAATTATTAGTGTAGGCAGCGGTGTGTAAGGTGTAGGGCAAGAATCTGTGTGTGTGTGTGTGTGTGTGTGTGTGTGTGCTTTCCAGACAGCAGTGGGGTCTTCTCGGCCACAGTGAAAGGCCAAGTGAGTCATCTGTGGCATGGCTTCTTGCCTTGTGCCCCAGGGTTTTGCAGCCTAACTTTGCATGGTCCTGGTGAGCAGTTCCACACTGCCATGCATCCCTCGGGGGAGGGAGATTGTAATGATTGGTACACAGCTGCCACCTTAAGAAGTTTCAGAGTTTAAGCCACTCAGCGGGGAGCCTGGGTCCTTACTTTGTAAATGCCCTCTGCCAGCACAAGGAGAAGGTGTGAGTGCCGCGCCTGCCCTGGGGGTGGAGCCTGCTTACAATGTGAGGGAGGAGAAGAGGCTTGCTGCCTCCTGTTTGCTGTCTTCTGCTGCCCTGAAGTGCTGCCCCTGTGCCATGTCACCCTGCCTTGGAGCCAGCTGATGATGGACTGAAACCTTCATAAACTGTGAGCTAAATAAACCTTTCCTCCCCTAATTTTGGGTGCCAAGTATTTTGTCCCAGCAATGAGAGAAAAGTAACACAGAGACCAAGAGTCCAACACATGATGATACTAAAGCCACTCTCAGACCAAATATTGTGAGAACCACCTGCTACTAAGCTCATACCACAGAGCGCCATGAACCGTGATAATAAGCAAAGCCACTTAAATCCACAGGCATCCTGCAGAACAAATCACAGGAATAACGACCTTTAACTGTCTGAAGAATAAACCTGTCCGCTGGCAAACTTCAGCCAGGCATAGACGGTCCATCACCACCCCTGCTCCCCACAGTGTGGGCAGACATGGGGACAGCGTGCTCAGGGCAAACCCAGCCTGGAGAGTCGCTGCCCCTCCAGCAAAGGTCACATTCCCACCTCGTGACGAATGAGGGTTTCAGCCAGCCTCTGACAAAGTGATGGAGTGAACAGTGCGAGTGGGTGTTCCAGAGCAGCAGAAGCTCCCAGAGAGGAACTCCAGGTTTAGGGTTGGGAACCCACAGGGAGAGCCTAAGTTCTCTAAGTTCCCCTTCACGCTTGGCACAGAGCGTGAGCACCGCCTCAGAGCCAGAGTCGGGGATGGAATTCCCGACCGAGCCTCAGTTTCCTCCTGACTCCGCCCAATTCGCAGGGGAGGGAAGTAGCTCTTCCCCCAAAAATGGCTCCACTGAGCCTCCTGTACCATCAGCTGCCTGCCTTGCTGGAAAGACTGCTCTAGGAAAAACGAGGCGAGGGAACGCTGGTGGCTGCTGACACTTACAACTAGAAATGCTCAGAAAGCCCAGCGTTCACATGGCCCTGACCTGTGACTTTAAATTGTTTCCAAGGTTTTCATTTGAATTCACTCACATCAAATAAGCTAGTACTGTCTGTGAGTGGGGACATGGCCACCTGACCAAGACAGTGTCTAACCACGTTCTTGCTACTGACACGCAGTATCTGATACCCACAGTTGAAGGGAGGAGAGGTTAATTTTGCCTCACAGCCTGTAGAGGTTTCAGTGCATAGCTGGCTGGCTCCAAGGCAGACAGGCAGAGCAGAGGAGAAATAGCTGGTGGCATGGGACAGGCAGCAGAGTGAGATCAAGGGAGGAGCCGGGGAAGGAGTGGCCCTTCAGGCCATACCCCAGCGAGCCACTTCCTCCATCCAGGCTATGCCCCCAGTGACCACCTCTTCCACGCTCCACCTCATCTAGCTATGAAACCATCAGTGGACCACTCATGAGCATCACACCCCTAAGATCCAATCACCTCCCCAAAGCCTCACCTTGGAGTGCATGAGGATTTGGGGGATGTGGGAACTGCAGGAGATTCCTGACCATCCCATCCTGTCTGGCCACAGTTGAGTCAGTGTTTCTAAGGGCTCTGTCCCTTATCTGACCACTTGGGCTCGCATGCGGGGCAGAGCCTGGACGTCCCACCTGCCCTCAGCACTTTCCTCCTGCCTGCAGAATGCCAGCCCTGTGTGCTGGGCATGTTTCTTTCCTGGGAATCAGAGGATGCAGGGGGCTGGAGAGCTAGAGTGGCCTTTTGGCTTCTGAGATGAGGCACTCACTTTATCGGGCTTCTTGGCAGAGCACACAACTCAGTTGGATGATGCCAAGGGGATCCAAGGCCAGGACGCACTGTGCCCATGAGAAGCAAGCTCTCTGAACAAGGACCAGACCGTGCGGAGCTGCTATGACTCTCTACCTGAGCTTTCTCCTTGACATTCACCATGCAGGTAAGGACTCCTTCAAAATGGGTTGGGGCCGTAGTCAGCATACTACAGCACATGGTAAGTATGCACATGTGTGTGTGCACCTGCAGATGTGTGCAGATATACATACAAGGGGTGAGCTGAAAATACAGCGTGTGTTTAAATTTACGGCATATTACAGCAAAACACACATGGCTATGAATCTGCCCTCTGCTTGCAACAGACTAATCCCATTATGCTCCCCACTTTCTGCAGTGGCTCTGAAGTCCTCTTTCCCAAGTGTCTTTAGTGGCACTGTCCCAGCTGCCTCGAAGTCCTGAATCTATTCAAAGCGTTAACTTTTCTGACTGGGGAAGAGCCAGGAGTCAGAATCAGTGACTAAGGACACAGCGTCCTTCCCTGTCGCCGCCTTTCCACTGCTGACACTGGGCAGTGGCTTCTGTGCTACTGTTAATCGCACTTCCTGCAGGCGCTCAGGGAAGATCACTTCCAGCCGGGCTGCAGAGGTGAGATCCAGGAGCTGGGAATGTTTCAGGGCAGGGAAGGGTTCGCACAGGGACTCCTGGTGGGCATCTCTTACTGCGATTTTTACAATTTAAACATGCAGGGCCCAGAAAGAGGAAAGTCAGAGAGCATCTCCTGTGAGCTTATAAACCAGCTCCCAGCCCCACTTGCCACTGTGAGCAGCCAGCTGGCTCAGAGGACAGGAGAGGCCGAGGTGATAGCAACTGTGGTACAAAAAGCACCTGAGTGCTTGTACTGTTCAGTGACTCTGTAGGCCTGGGGCCAGTGGCCTGAGCATCTCTTGGGAAGTGGACAACATGCAATACAGCAAATATGGAGGATTTCCTTCTATCTTGTCTTTGCAATCCAATACTGTTCTCACTGTTTTGGTTTGTTCTGATTGCTTTGTTTTATTCAGTATTCCATTTTGATTGTTTTTTTCTGTTTTGTTTTGGTTTGATTTTGCTATTCCTGATAGAATGTACAACTATTGTGAAGACAAGGAGACACACTATAGTGACATTGTTATTTTCCTCATATCTTGCTTTGAAGTCCTGAACCAATTTCACTGCTTTGGTTTTATTGACTTCATTCTGGTTTTTTTGTTGTGTTTTATTATCTTTAAAATAAAAAGAACTGTGTATTTCTGCCACCCCTCCTGTGTCATCACATAGAACACACGAGCGAGGCCCTCTGCACAGTCCTGGGCGAGGACCAGGTTCAGCAGTCAAGAATGATCACCTTTGGGCCACAGCAGCCTGGACCCACCATGGCCTCACCGGGCTCCAGGCCCCCCTGGGCTGGGTCTCTGGGCGGGACTCCCTTCCCTATCTCCCTCTGTTCAGGAATCTGTGGGGGGGGGGGGATGCCTTACCCCCGGGATGGTGGCCAATGCTGAAAGGTCAGACGTAGCCTCCAGGAGAGGCTGGTATGGGGAGGAAAGGAAGGGACAAATGCGGAGGGCAGGTACTTGGTCAGGCAAGGACCCCTGGGTGGCAGGTGGGGGACAAGAGGTGCAGGCCCTGGCTGCTCTGCTCACTGGGTCATTCATAGGGCAGAAGCCACCCAGCAGACATACTGGAGACAGACAGTGAAGGGTGCATGGTCAGTCCTTGAAATCAAGGCTCTCTGTGGGCCTTGTGGGCACAGGGAAGTCCCTGTCAGGTAAATCGGTGGCCTGATGCCCTACTCACAGATAAACTCAGAGCAAATGGCCCCCGACAAGGCTATGAACCCAGCCCCTGGGTGAGGTGCTTGCGGGAGCAGAACCCAAAGCCCTGGAGGGTGCCCACGGCCTTGTCACTGCGGCTCACGTTGAGGAGGCCAAGGCCACAGAGATTACCCTCAGGATGCATGTGCCCCACGCGGTGGCTCCCTTCTGCCCCTCACTGGCTCAGTTTCCTCCTATGTGTGGTGGTTCTGACAAGGTTTCCGCCCTCCGAGGGCTGCAAGGGCCAAGAGTCCCCTAAGAGCAGCCTCTGGGGCGGGAGCTGATGTCGGGCTCTGGTCCCCGTGCTGTTCCTGTGCTCACCGTGTGACACACAGCTGGGCTCCAGGGACCCTTCCAGGAAAGGGTGTGCAAGGACCCCTGGACAGGGATGCAGGGCTGCCCCTCATCTCCCTCTGCCCATTTCCTTCTGCCTTCCTGGCTCACTTCCTTGCTTACTGGGCAGAATCACATGGCCGGGGCCCCAGGCAGGAGGTGGTGGTGAGCACGGGAGAGGCCACCAGGCCCAGAGAGGGATGCGGGCAGGGGTCAGGTGCACGCCAGGGCCTTGGGTCTCCGTCCTCCTGCCCTGCAGCAGGCAGCAGAGGACACAGGCACAGAGCCGGGGTTGGGGAGCCCAGGACCTTCGACCTTGAGGGCTGAGGCCGCACACCCCAAGAGGAAGCAGCCCAGGAGGACCCAGGGTCTGGATGCTCACTGCAGAAGGCCCCGGAGGGCAAAGGACGTGAGAAAGGAGGCCTGGAGTGGGAACCGCCCAGGAGGAGCACGGGGCTCTGTGGGTCCAGGCAGAGCTCAGCAGTTTTGGGGTGACAACTCCCTTCTGACTTCCACAGGCACAAGGCTAACCTACAAACTGACCCGCCGTGTCCCGGGTCCCCTGTTCCTTCCTATTCACACTCATCTCTGAGGAATTCTGCCTCGATTTTACTGACATATTCCCCCTAGACATTTCGGATAAAAATTTCCAGTGACTCTGAACGAGCGGTAAGACTCAGTAAGGGGCGGAGCCTGTCCCCGAAGGCCACGCCCACACCGAGCAGGGCCCGCCCACTCTGGAGTGCACGGTTGCCTGCAGAGGCCCCTGCAAACCAGCCGCTGGTCCTGGAGGAAACTTGAGGTTCTTACCTGAGACCAGGGAGAGACGAACCAGCCACTCCCTGGGGGGCCCGAGGCTGTGTGCGAGGACCGCGGCGGGCACGGAAACGGGGTGCAGGTGCGCTCCAGCTCCAGGTCGGGCTGCGGCAAACGCGAGCACTTCTTGGAGGCCAGCTCGCGGTACTTCCCCGAAGCGTACTTTTCGGCACATTTTAGGAACCGTCTCTGGGTTCCGCTTCCGCACGTGACGGAGCACTGGAAGTGAGAGGAGGAAGGGTGTGGTTTCTGCACAGCCAGGACTCAGGTTGTCTCCTGGGGACAGCAGCCTGGACGTTTAGGGAAAGGCAGACCCTGGGTGACACTGAGGGGCATGGCCGTTTAGGCATCCTGGGCCTAAGCAGGGCAGGGCAGTCAGAGGTCGCCAGGAGAGCAATTCCAAATCTACTGGAGAATGAAACCGGGCTGTCCCTGATCTGAGAACCCAAGACATGGCCTACAGGAGGACACAGTAGCCTTCACTGAGTGGTTTCCTTCACACAACTGCACGCCAGATGCAGCCCAGAAACCAGAGACTGGCAGGAGCAGCCCGGGCGCACAGATCTCTCGGTGAAGTGTGAGCACCACACTAGAGAAGGGAGCACGCATGGCTGGGCCTCCAAGATGTGTGCCAGCCTGAGCTGCCCCAGTGCTGGGCCCTGCATGAGCAGGGAGACCCGGGGAAACCCAGCTGCAGCCACCCATCCAGCAGGGCGACACCTGAGAGCTATGCCCTGCTGCAGGAGAGCAGAATATGGAGGTCCGGGGATAGGACTGGTCCTTGTTCCAGGGACAGTGGCAGGTACTCAAGTCACCCAAGATCCCTGGACCAATGGCCTGCAGTCCACCTAAGTGGAGGGCCCAGGCAGCTGCACCAGCCTCTCTGAGCTCACCTTCCTATCCCTGCCCTTCCAGGTGTGCTGTCCTTACCTGATGTTGAGAGAGACTGACGAGAGGTCACTTATTCAGTCAAGCCTCAGAGAGCAGCCCTGGTGCGTAAGCGTGTGTGTGTCATGTGTTTGTGTACCTATGTTACATTTGAGGGGAAGCGTTTGCATGCTTGGCTGCAGGGGTCTGTACTGCAGATGGGGCTTCACAGTTTCCTGCGCCCTGGAGACAGGGCTCAGGTTCTTCCTTGGCAGAGGCAAGCTGACTTCAGGGAGCAGCGGTGTTTTTATTTCGAAGTGGCAAACACTGTGTCAACTGACGAAATGCCCTGCTTGGCAAACTGCATCCGGAACATCAGTGTCCTGAGAGGTATGGGGCGAGGACAGCTGGGGCTTTCTCCTGGGACTGCGGTGACGTGCACAGTACCACCTGGGGATGCGGAGGCCTGGAAACTTCGTGTAGACCGTGCACACCCAGCTAGGCGCTGTGCGCTGGGAGGTTCTGGAGTCCTTCTGGGCTCTCTTGGGCCACACCTAGTCAGGGAACCTTCACCTTCCCCAAGCTACTCTTCAAACTTCCACCCTAGGTCCTGCAATAGTGGGGCTGGCAGCCCTGGGCAGTGACCACACATCATCCGGGGCCTGGGTTCCAGGGGGCAGCACAGGAGGCCCCTGCAGATGCCCATGCTACCCATGAAGCTGGTCTCAGAATGGGCCCACTTCTCTGTCCAGGAACCCGGCTTCTTCCTGCTCTGTGCTGGATGCCTGCAGCCTGGAAATGCTTTTCACTGTCCTGGAGTAAGGGGGGCATCCCAAGACCCACTGCCTCTGCTGGGTGGGAACCCCATCCTCATACACCCAGCTCATCCTCTGTGGCACCTGACTACGGGGGACAGAAAAGCCACTAGGAAAGCTGCAGCGGCTTGGCTGCAGCTCAGAGGGTTGGGTGAAATTGGGGCATGGGGACCAAGAACTCAGGGGTTGCAAGGAGACTGGAGGGGGTAGCAGGAGGCAGGGCACCTGAGACAGTCCCCAGGGTGACCCACCTGGGACCAGGCGGACACCAGCCACTGCAGCTTCTTGTGTTTGTGGCAGCGCTGGAGCAGGCAGGCCTCGTGTGTCCTGGGCTTGGGCTCTGCCACGCACATGGCTTCGGGCAGCAGCTGGGCGCGGGCTGAGGGGTTGGTGCTCTTGCAGACCAGGGTCCTCTTCCTCCAGCCCTTGCCACAGGTCCGGGAGCACTGCACACAGAGCAAACGCTCGGGCCTTTTGTCCCAGCCAGTGGGCCCAGGCCCTGCCTGCTGGCAACTGCCCACTTACCTCTGCCCACGGCCCCGTGCTCCATGCAGGTGGGCAGCCCTGGGGGTTGCAGGCCTGCTGGCTGGGGGGCGCAGGCTGTGGACACAGGCTGGCCACCACTGGCTGCAAGTCGTAGCGTGCCCGGCGGGTGCACTGCACTTGCCGGCTCTGAGTGCCCCCGCCGCACGTCCGGCTGCAGGCGCTCCAGTTCCCCACAGTCCAGCTGGAAGGGGACAAAGCACAAACCTGTGAAGCAGCCCTACTTCCTAACAATACGGAACGTGGTATGACTGTGCCACAGAGAAGGATAAAGCCGAGTCGTTTGTGGGAAAATGCATGCACTTGAGACCCTGACGTGAAATAATCACACTCGCAAGCTTAAATACCACACGGTTTCTCTCACTGACAAACCCAGAGTATGAATAAAGTAACAAAATAAAAGGGAGATAAATGGCAACAGAGAGACAGAGCCTTTGCACATGGGAAGGGGACCAAGAAACGGAGGGAGAGGAGGGACGGAAAGAGTCTAAAGGGGTGTTATACATAGGCACCAGCCCCCACCACAAATCCAACACCAAGTACTGCAAAAGGGCGCTGCAAAGATTTTAGAAACTGAAAAAGAAAGAAATCAGCACAAGTGACCATGAAAGAAAAAGCGCCTGCAGTAAGAAAGGGACGGTGTCCTGGCTGGAAAAGAGGAGAAGCTGCAGGGGCAGCAGCCAGGGTAGCTTCCGAGCTACCGTCCACACAGACGGCATTATCTTCAGCCAAGAGGCCGTTTCTGCCCAGAGCTCCGGGCTGAGCCCAGTTCCACTCCCTTCTCCCCGCTTCGGTCAGGATCCTGCTGTTCTTCACCAGAGCCTCCCCAGGTTTTCTTCCAATTGCAGGATTTTGAGAACTGCATCTCTGGTGATTTTAATGTGCTCCTCTGCCCTCAATCATTCCTAGCAATTAGCAGCTGGATCTAGAGGCTTCTAGAGGCTTCATTCAATTTGGATCTGATTTGTTGTACATGACTGTTTCATTAGGGGTAATTACTCTCCCAGCAGGAGGTCCACGGCAGCTCAGCAGCTTTCAGTCCACTGCCAGCTGTTGATGGTTGACAATGATTTTTCCCAAAGTCACACTTCTGTTTGTCTCTTCCAGTTATAAAAGAGTTCCTTGTCAATAGGTCGCTGGTGGGTGATGGAGTGCGGATGGAGGTGAGTCCAAGGGTAGCCCAAGGGCATGCTTGTTGGGTCTGCAATGAACCTGGCCATGTCTATGCCAGTCCATCTGCAGATGCACTCTGGCTGGCAACCTGGAGGTCTCTCCAGCAGCTGGCCAGGTGGGCTCCAAGAAGACTTGATTTTCACAGCTACTTATCTTCTGGCTCCGCCCACTCTGGGCCATAGCAGAAGGTGGGGAGACCTCCCCAGACTGGAGACCTTGTGGAAGACTTGGGGTCACCCTGGGATACAGGTACACAGCACTGCAGGGAAGGGGTGGGGTGACTCCCACAGGGAGTCACAGGGGCTGGTAGCACAGAGGAGCAGCTTCCTGCTGGACTCAGTGTCCAGTGCAGGTTATGACAGGGACGGTGATGCTCAGGGACAGCAGAGCAGGGAGCTTCCCAGAGCAGGCCCCTGCTGGCCCTGCTTCCACAGGACTCCGGAACAATGAGGAGAGTGACACTGGCATCCTCCCGCATCCTGAGGTTTTCATAGCTCCCAAATGTAGCTTCTGGCTTTTGGATCTCTGCCCCATCACCTCCCAGTCGCATGGGTTGAGGAGCCAAGGCAGCCGTCAAGCCAGCCTGTTAGGGGTGAGGTGGTGCCTGGGAGACACCCGGAGCAACAGGAGGGATGGGGCACAGTGCAGTGTGAGGATCCAGGCTTCAGAGAGTAACACAGGACACAGGAAACCCGTGTGGAATCCCTCCTGCCAGCGGCAGCCCCTGCCAATATTTCTTTACACTGGCTTCTTGTGCTTTCTCTGTGTGTGTCTGCATGGATATAAATACATTTCAATAGGGCTGAGGAGACATACTGTTTGAAACTTTTTTCAGCATTTTAAAAATCCGACATTTAAGCAGGGCATGATGTCATACACCTTCTGGGATGCTGAGGCAGGAGGATTGCAGGTTTCAGCCCAGCCTACACCTTAGCAACTCAGCAAGACACTGTCTCAGAAGCGGTGAGGGGCCGGCACTCCAGCTCAGTGGGGAGGCCCTGGTACCAAGATAAGTGAATAATAAAATCTGATGTTTAAATTGCACGTTTTCCCTACACATCGGAGCCTTTGTTAATGTGTTTTCCATATCGCAGATATTTCATACTGAGACCAAAATATACAGACATGGGAATGAAGGCATGAAGAACAGGACCCCAAACTGCGGGGACTTGTGGATGGTTCGAATCAAATCTCTGTGGTCTTTCCCAGTCCAGTGAAAGGATTTGCTTTGTGAACAAAACCAACCCTAACTTCTCAAAAGGGGTCCAGCAATTTGAAAGGTTTTGGTCTCCTTTGCAAGTCCTGAGGGTGATTTGGGCAGTGGAGCCTGGAAAGGGAGTGGCATTGGTGGCACTTTTGGGTGGGAAGTAGTCAGGGCACCCAGACCCTGGTGACCATGACACATGGATGGCAGCCCTCAGACCCACTGGTACCAGGAGAAACTCCTCATTTACTTTTGTCTGGGGAAACAGCCTTGGGTTGTTTTATACCAACTATTTTCTCTGAAAAAAATTTCATTATGGTTTTAAGAAAATCAGAAAAATTCATGCAAAATCATAAAAAACACTGTAATGCAAATTTTTCTACACACGACAAGAAAAGGTCAGGGTTCTAGAGACTGTTCCATGTCAGCTGTGAAAACACTTCAAATAATCAATGATTACAAGATGAGTATTCATTTCATGTTAAACCAGCTCAGTGACACATTCTCATTCCGCAAGCCCGGCTGTAAAGAATCTGCAGCTGGGACGCTGGGTGGCTCTTCCTCAGCTATAAGTGCTTTCGGTTGTGTTTGTTTACCCCTGTGTTTGTACATTTGTGCTCTGCATCCTGCAGCCTGGAAAATGTTAATTGGTGTGTCCACACTGGGGCCGCCAAATACCTCCTGGGAGTTGCAGGCTTCCTACATCACCTCACTAAGCCTTCTGTCTCTGCCATCTTGCCAAATCCAACCAGGCCAATTCGTGCTCTACATTTATCTCTTAATTGCAGATCATTACAAGGAATCAGCTCACTAGAGTTTTAGTAGAGAAACAGATCTAACACAAGATATACAAATCTGTAAGAAATTACAAGATTGGCTCATGATGGTCAGCCACAGAGTCAGATAAGGAAGCATGCAGGGGCTGTCTGTACACTAGAGGCTGAAGGTTTCAATCCCGGTCTGGGGTGCACTGCAGGGTCCCGTACATATCTGTAGTAGGAGGCTGATGGGACTGTGACAGAAGGCTAACGAGTCTACACCACAAGGCTGAAGATGCAAGGCAGAAGCCTGAGAGGCTGTGCTGGAAGCCAGGAGAGGAGATGGCCAAGTTGAAGGTGAAGACTGAAGCCCTGAAGAATGGAACCCTGTCCACCTTCCTCATTCCCTTTACACCATCCAGGCTATGAGTGACCCTAGGATGGGTCCTCTACACCCCAGAGTGCAGAATTGCTAAGATGATTTAGTTAAGCTTCTCAGTTTCTCAAGTTGACACAATCAACCACCACAATCTACCCCTTGTCAAGTTGGAAACCAGACACATTCTTTAAATCAGTCTTTAGATACAAATAGATACATATAATTGCACCTAACATATAACTATCCTGTATTCAAATGGAAATGCACTAATTCCCTCACCAGAGTAGAAGGCAAGTTTTCTTTGGTTGATGCTTACTATTATAATTTCATAACTTCAACATTATAGCATAGGTTTACCAATCCTTAAGAAACCAGTACTAAGTCTATCAATACTGTATTATATTAGAACTGTACTAGAGGAGAAATAGTAATTACAATCCTCTTTTCTGTAGGTGATCACGGGGTTGTAGTGGGCATTTAGAGCTAACTTCGTCCACTACCCATTCTGTGTTCCCTTGGCCTTCAGTGAGCACCTCAGCAGGTCTGGGTTCTTTCCCTGGTGGAGAGACCCACACCTTTATTTCTGCAGGCTCTGGGACATTTGTCATTATGCGGGCCGTCTTTTGAGCCACACTTCTGCCAGTCAGCCAGACAAACTATTAACACAAACTATTAACATGAGCCGTGATATTAAGTTCAGACTCTCTGCTTAATGGGCCCATATCAACAAACTCAGCAGGCCGCATCGCATCTCGGCTCCCTCTGCCCTTCCAGGCACCTGCACCCTAGCGGGGCTCATGTGGGTACTCTGCCTCTGGCCTCCAACTTTCCACCCAGTCCCAAGCTGCTACTCCTGCCTGCCCAACCTACCCTCCCAGCAGCTGACTCCAAGCCTGGGTGGCTCGTTTTGTGATTCAGTTCTTTGCAGACACAGTATCCAGATACTTGGCTCATGCTGGGGATGGTAAGTTCTGTCCCAGCCTGCCTAGGCAGCTTAGGGACGCATCCTCACTTCCTTCAGGCAGAGCCAGAGGTCACACAGTGGGAAGGGTCAAATGGGCTCAGTCTTCACAGGCCCTGGAGAAGCCTGCTGTCAAACCTCGGGCATCGCATGGTCCAGGTGCTTCTGGGCTCCTACCGCCAGCCCCGTGTCCTCTGCCCCCCAGTCCTTCCTCACGGGGCTCAGAGGGGCTCACAAAGTTCCAGGAGGGCAGAATCGAGGTGTGACAGGGACCTCACTTTGGCAACAAAAGACAGACACCCTCTGTGGGCACCCGAAGCAGCAGGAGGGAGAGGGGAGGCTGGCCAGCAGCAGTATCCTCGCCCACCCATTTCTCCCTCAGAGCACACAGTGAGAGGAGCGGCAGAGGAAAGGGGAGCTGGTGGCTGCAAGCTCAGGGCGGCATGGGACGCTCAGGCGGCACCTCACCCTCCTCAGCTGAGCAGGGGGGTTCATCTCAAAACGGCCGCCAGCCAGGAAGCTCCACCCTCCCCGGACTGGCAGGTTTCCTACCAAGTGGCCAGCTGGTGGCCCTCTGGCTGCTGGCCATGTGATCACCGCTGCCAGGACTCAGTCTAGCTGCGGAGGTGAGGAGAAGCGGGATTCACACCCACACCTGTGTGCACGGCTGTGACCCCCCAGACTGACAGGACAGGCTGGCCTCATGTGG